GTTGGGTTGGAAGTGGTGCGTCCCAGGAGGGTTTGGGGTGCGGGTGGTAGGGAGGGGGTGCTGCAGGACTGTGCTTTTTGTGTGCTGTGATGGGTTTGGGTTGTGTGCATAACAGGGTCTGGTTTCCAGAGCTCTCGAGCTGGTGCTGGCTTATCTCTGCCAGCATTAATTTCTTGTAGCTACGGGCATGTGGGCCAGGTCTGGGCTCCCTGGCACCGGCTCTCCTGGTGCTGGCTGCTTGCTAGCTTTGGTGCGTGAGCTCCTTGTTTCCACACTAATCCCTGCTGCAGGGAGTCCCCTGTGCTGTGCACCGCAAGCACTTGGCTGAGCATCACCTGGCTCTGCTGTTTCTTGGTGAGTGAAGCTGATTTACGCTTGCTGATGACCTTTCAGGTTGTTTTCTGTCTTGGACTTGTGTTCCTATCAGCCTCTTCTGGGGTCTTTCCAGAGTGTCTCCCTGTTAAGAGGGTGAATCTTGAGGGCAAGTTTGTAGATGGGTAAGGGCAGCTCCTCAAGATATGTTTGATGGTCTTGCTTCAACACTGCAGATACTCAGGGGTCCCACTGCTGTCTCCTGGGTATCTGTAGAGCTGTGATCTCTCAGGAGCAGCATGGCTTCACTTGAGACACCCCAGTTGTACCCGTCTTTGTTAACCCAGCCCTGAGTATGGTGGGGGAACAAGTGCATCTCTCTGGGCTTACCAGGCTGTGGGACTCTGGCTTTGCAGATGCTCTCCCAGAGCAATGTCCTGGGAAGGGAGGAGCAGAGCCCTGGAGCCTGTGTGATGGGCTGAGCCCAGTACCTGCGTGGGTCAGCAGGATGGGGGGAGGCCCCCGGCCACCCTGTGTCCCCCACAGACATATGTCCGCACACAGCAGCCAAGAAAGTCCTTCTCCCTCTTCCTCAGCCTGCAGGAGGCTATTTTCTGTGCAGGGACGAAGTGCCAATTCTGGATGGGGTGGCTCTCCAAGCAGTCTCAGACAGGACCCTGTCACCCTTCTGTCTGTCCTGATTATACAGAACCTATGACGTGGCATCGCTGGTAGCTTCCAAACCACTCCTCCACTTTTGGAGGCTGATTCATTTGTGTGGCCTCAGAGTAGCAAAAATATCAGTGGAAACTGAATTTCTATCAAAGTGAAGGCCACGCACTCCTGAGCAGGGAGCCGTTCCCGGTTGCCTGCTGGTAAATGCTGAACTGGGGGGTGAGATGCTCATCCGCGGCATGCCAAGGTATCAGATATGAGCTCCAAACCACTCCTCCACTTTTGGAGGCTGATTCATTTGTGTGGCCTCAGAGTAGCAAAAATATCAGTGGAAACTGAATTTCTATCAAAGTGAAGGCCACGCACTCCTGAGCAGGGAGCCGTTCCCGGTTGCCTGCTGGTAAATGCTGAACTGGGGGGTGAGATGCTCATCCGCGGCATGCCAAGGTATCAGATATGGGCAGTGTGTCCAAAAGCAACAGCTCAAGTGTGTCACAGTAAAAAGGAGTTATCCAGCTTAGCTGGGAGTCAAAAATTTAAGGCGGCAATAAATAGCAGATCAGAGCTTTGTAGAGACATTTTAAGTGACTGAGTTCTTAGCAGGAAAGCCAATGGGGCAAGAGTCTGCCTTTAATAAGGGACTCTGGGGGGACCCAGGTCCTTGGGAGAGCTGGGGCTGAGCCCTGTGGGACCACGGGGGTGATTCGTGCCTGGGGCAGCACCTGTTGCTGCGCCCGGACTGCTTTTACCTATCGGAGGGGCAAAGAGTTTGATCTTGGTTATTTATAGCAGCTGCTATAAATGTGCCAAGATGTGCCAGGCCGGGAGCAGAGGGGCTGTTCACCCCGTCCCAGCGGCTGGTGGTGGCTGGTCCCAGGATGAGCCGCTTCACTTGAGGTGGTGGGACCTGGCTGTCTACCCCACGCTGTGTCTCCCGCGCCCACTGGTGTGGGAACTGGGCTCACTGGAGGAGAGAGGGGTGCTGAGCCGAGTCCCCCGCAGAGCCTGCGTTTGGCTCTTGGCTCCTTCTCTTTTGGGAAGCAGCAATCAACCAGAGATGCTGATGGCTCCAGGGCTGTAGTGTGCAGGAGCCAGACATAGGCTTAAGTCCTGATCCTGCTCCCTGGGGTCATCCCGCTATCTCTGGATGGCCACGAAGGGGTCAGAGCAGGACCAGATGCTGCAAAAGACCCCAAAAAGCATTTCCATGCCCAGGGCAGCATCCCCTTTGAGGACCCCCTGCTTAGCCTTGGGCAGTGCTGCCAACCCCCAGCATCTCTCCCCTGTGGCTGCAAGCCCCACGCCTGGTGCTGCCAGGGGCTGCTCCATCGGCAGCCGGATCAGCGTAGTATGGCACAATGGCTTCAGCCCAGTGGGAGGAAGAGGAGACACGGTCCGAAAGCAAAGCTGGTGCTGCTCGCTCGAGCTCCCCTCCTGTGCTTGCTCCTGCTGGGGGGGGGGAATGAGCAGAGTCATGGGGCTGCAGAAACTTGACTCCTGCAGTGATCGCTGGTGGCAGCTGGAGGCACAGCCACCTCCGCTGCTGACCGCAGGCTGGGCGCAGCGAGCGGGGACAGGGCGCAGCGAGTGGGGACAGGGCGCTGCTGGGGGTTTGGAGGGGCAGCACCCAGCGGGAGGCTCCAGGGAAGATGTGGACCATGCAGCACCCCATGCACCGAAGCCTTGGAGAGCAGTGTGCTGCTGAAGGGGCTGGAGCCCTACAGAGCGCTGGCATGGCCCATAACGCAGGCTTGCCCTTAACAGCTCTGCAAGACCTTGTTTCCAGGGAAATTGAGGCTGCCTAGGCCAACAAGCTCCTGTGAGTCCTCGGAGTCCCCAGGAGATGGGGTGGGTTGGTCCCGCCATGGCTGCTGTGGGTCCTGCCCACATGCATCAGTGCATCCCCAGTGGGACTCGGGGCGACAGAGCCAGACGCAGCCCTGTGCTTTTGGCTTGAGCTTGGAGGCCACTGGTATCAAGGGAATGCAAAGGGCAGGTTTCCAGAGCTGCACAAGCGGAGTGTGAAATGGGTGTAACTTCAGAATAACTCTGGATGAGAAGAAGCAACAGTGGTACCCTGCTGACCCACTGCCGTGGGCACCATCCCCTCGCAGAAACGCCTGGTGGCAAAAATTCCCTTTTTGCTTGCTTTGATGAGGTCCCACCTTCGGGGTCCAGCGGGCCTGGGTGAGATGGGGCTGTGCCCCTCTGGGGTAGCGGCTCCAGGCTCTCTATTTTGCAGCGGTTTTGGCCACAAGCTGGGTTATAGGCAGTGCCAGACTCCACTTTGCAGTGATGTGACTCAGTTTGTCCTATTGGATAACCCTGTTCAGCAAGGGCAACACTCTCCCTCTTCTAAAACAGGTTTAAATACAAAAATTGGTGCTCTTGCAGCTTGATTTATTTAAAGGCTGCCCTGTTCCAAAAGGCAGCAAGTTGCTCCCATCCCTCTACCAGCTGCATTTTGAACGTGCATCAAAGCCCTGGTGCTGGAGCCACGAAAGGGCTGTTCAAACACTGTGATGAAGGTGATCTCTGCCCAAGAGACGTTGCAGCTGGAGGCCGGTCCCTGCTTCATCCCTGGGGCTGGAGAGATGGGGGGTGAGCAGTAATACCCCCACAACGCTGTGCTGCTGTGGTGATTGCCTGCCCTTGGCAGAAGAAAATCCATTTTGCAGACCGAGATTCAATTCAGCAGCGATAGCAAGGGAGCGTGGTGGTTTCTAAAATGCAGTTATCCTGCGCTGCTCAAAATCAATACCTCCCTTTGCCATTGCTTTTATCACTTGGTTTTATAATCACCATAGGAACGTGGCGATACCATTATGCACCCAGAGTCTCTCTTCCCATCAGGGCTATAAATGTCCAGTTCTCCTTAATTACAAGGGGCTGAAGGTTTCCAGCTCTCAGCATGGCGGGGCTGGGGCTGTGAGGAGTATTGATCCTAAAGCTTTTTCAGGGGCAGGTGCTCAGCAGCATCACATAAAGTTTTGGTGCATGGAGGAGTCGCTGCTTGCCAGTGGGATGCTCATTTTGGGGAGGGTGAGGCACAGAGGTGCATCCATCCCAGTATCCCTGCAAAGCGGGATCGAGTGTTGTGGTATATTGGGCTCATTTCTGACACAAGCCGGTGTTTATGGGTCGAACAGATATCGAGGCGAAGCCAAGGCAAAGTGACTCAAAGCAAGAACCTTTCTGGTGTCTAGGAAGCCTTTGCCAGGCGTTTCGGCCTCGCTCAGGGCATGGCAGCCTGTTCCTCCGGGTGCAGCCACTCATCTCGTCCCCACTTTGCTCTCTCCAACCCTTTTTGTTGTTCTGCTGCTCAGTGGAGCCCCCCTTATCTCCCAAATGGCCCATCCTATTCCTGTCTGGGGAGTCATCCTGATCTCTGTAACATTAGAAAGTGCCATTATTGCCTTGCTTTTTGGCTCAAGATAAGACTTTAACCCCTTCCTCTCAGGAGCAGAGCCATCCGGCACTGCAGGTTACTCATGTTTCCTACGGACGGGTGCTGTGTAATGGCCACTGACCCTACAGGACTGAGCTCCTCTGGATGAGGAACTTCTTGCTTTCAGCACCACACGTTGCTTGCACAGGGTGCAGGAGGAAAGCTGCCGATGCCTTGCAGCATATTGCAAAGGGGAGAGAGCTGGAGCGGTGCCGCTGATGTTGAAGGTGTTTTGTTGAACAACCCTGTCTAGGTTGTGAAATTGCACCTCTGACAACAGCCAGCTGGTGCCAGGGACACCAACTGCTCAGCTCATATGGTGCTCAACCCGATGGCGCTTTTTGATTGGAGGCTGAATGGGGGTCTGGGAGGAGAAGGAGCACATGGGGTGCGCCGTCTGCAAGCGATCCATACATAATAATCTTCCTTGCAAGTTCAATATTTCTGCAATAAACCTGTTTGCAAAAAACATGAAGATCCTGCCATCACCTGGCTTCAAGGGCTGAGCAAAAATGCCCCAAAATGGCACCAGCTGGCATTGCCTTCTCAGCCCTCCTCTCCCCAGCAGGCTGGGCGCAGGCATCCCAGGAGCAGAATGAGAGGATGGCCGACCTGCCGCACATTCCGGGTCCCGAGAACCTCCGCCCCTTCACCCCCGCCTCGCTGGCTGCCATCGAGCAGCGCATCGCCGAGGCAGAGGCGCTCAAGGTAAAGCAGCAGCAAGTGGAGCTGCCCGAGGAAGAGGAGATCAAGCCCAGCAGCGACCTGGAAGCCGGCAAGAACCTGCCCCTCATCTACGGTGACCCACCGCTGGAGCTCATCGGGACCCCCCTGGAGGACCTGGACCCTTTCTACAAGGATAAGAAGGTGAGGGGCAGAGCTTAGCCCATGGGCAGATTTGGCATTAGATCTAAGTCCCAAGAAAAAGACCAAAGCATGGACCTCCTCTTCTTTCCACCATGCCCCAGGGTCTCACCTGAGCCCGTCTTGGTGATCCACAGCCCCAGACTGCTGTGGTTGCTTCTCCTCCAAAGCAGAGCATCTGTTCCCTGGCAAAGTCCTGAGCCTTTGGAGATCCAAAGCACACATAGAGGTCTCACCTCTAATGGCAGCACTTGATCCTTGGGTGTTTCGGGGGTGTGCAGAAGGGCTAACCCATCTCCCTCCTCTCTTTTCTCCACAGACATTCATAGTCCTCAACAAAGGGAAGTCCATCTTCCGCTTCTCGGCGACTCCTGCCCTCTACCTGCTGGGGCCCTTCCACCCCATCCGCAGAGGAGCCATCAAAGTGCTTATCCATTCATATCCTTGCCCTCTGTGATGCTGCTCCATTGCCAGGTCAAACCCTGATGCTCAGAGTGCAAACAGCCCTGGGAGAGGGCTGAGAGAAGTGGTTCATGATGGTGTGGTGAGCAAATCTCCTGGGCTGGCCACCACCGTGGCCAGGATCCACTGCCCAGCCATCCCAGTGTTTTGGTCCCTTCCCAAGGAGTGGGTGATTGAAGGCTTTGGGCACTTTGGTGGCACCAAGAGTTCAGTCTTGGCTGGAGAAGGGAGGAATCAGTTTTGTTGGAGAAGGGAAGAAACCTAAGTGGTGGAGCTTCCTAGGAAGAGGTTCAAGGTCTCTGAGGTCTGGAGAGACTTGGAAAGGAAGGAAAATGTTTGCAGGTCAGGGGATCCTGTCCCACCTGGTAAGTGGGTGAATTGGGGAGCTCAAAGGATGCTTTGGGAGAGGGAAGGCAGAGGAACCAGGACGTTGGGGTACAGGGAAGGAGGCAACTTGGGCAGTGCCGGGGCTTTTGGTGTGAGACAAGCAGAGATGGAAAGACAGGAAAGGACCCCAGGAGCAAGAGGGGCACTAGGATGAGCGGGAAGTGATCCCAGCTCTGGTGGGAGTTGGTGGGGGTTGGAGGCCAGGAGGTAGGAAGAAAAAGAGGGAGTGTTTGTGGCAGAGGGATCAGACGAGTGGGGAAAGCTGTATCCTGGGGTGATGGAGAGGAAAGAGCTCAGAGGACAAGAAGGGAGGCAGAGCCAGCACCACAGAGATGGGGAGGGGAGCAGAAAGGGAGGGCAGGGGCCAGGACCATGCATGGAAGCAGGGGGACTAAGGGGAAAGTGTGAGCACAGGACTGAGCCGGGAGAGAGCAGCAGGAGGAGCAGGTCAGGGCATGGGACCAAGGTGGGAGCCAGGGCAAGAGGAGTAGGGGTGCTTGGCTTCATAACCTTGTGAAGGAGGGAATCTAGGCAACAGCCACAGCATTTCTCCTTGACCAGGTTTTAAATTATTCAGCATGTTCATCATGATCACGATTTTAACCAACTGCGTGTTTATGACGCTGAGCAACCCCCCGGCGTGGTCCAAGAACGTGGAGTAAGTCCCTGCCTCCCGCAACCTCCCCCAGCCATGGGGGCCATCCCAGCTTGGCCATCCTCAGGAGGGACAGGACCAAGGCTGAAAGAGGGGTGTTGGGATCCAGGCACCCTTCAGAGGAGGAGAGGTGTCATTGGGAGATGTTGGTGACCCTCTTGATCTCAGAAGGGATGTCCACATTCTGCATTAGGAATTGCAAAGACTGGGAGCACTTCAGAGCTGCCCAAAATCTGGTGGGGTCCCTGCGACAGGGGACGACTGCAGAGCAGGTTGGGTTGGGTCAACAGTGGTAGTCTGGAGAGACTGAGCAGATCCACCAGTCCAAGGATCATGGACGACCAGCCCCAGTTGAGAAGGGGAAAAGCCAGCATTTTCTGCTGTGGTTCTGCACAATCAGGTCTCGGCAGGGTTTTACGGAGAGCGTGGTGGTGTTGGGACATCAGCAGGGATCAGAGGTGTTGTAGAATAGTCACCAAAGGGATTGGTACCTCAAGATGTCCCAAATTCCCTTATGAGGTGAGGTGAAAACCTCCCCCAGTGCTGAAGCACCCCAAGAACCCAGCAGCCTGCAACCGTGAGCTGTCAAACTCAGGTCCCCAAGATGGTCGCACTGGCAGGGGTGGACAAAACCTCATCCTGAGCTGGCCCTTGGACCCAGGTGAGGATCCCCTGAGTCACTGTTCCCGTTTCAGATACACCTTCACTGGGATATACACCTTCGAGTCCCTCATCAAGATACTGTCGAGAGGCTTCTGCATCGACAGCTTCACATTCCTGCGTGACCCGTGGAATTGGCTGGACTTCATGGTCATCTCCATGGCGTGAGTTTGGTGGGATGGGGGGAGGACAGGAGGTCTGGCCACTGCAACCGGGGGGGAGGGACCCTGGGGAGGAGGACTGAGAAACAGGGCGGGGGGTGCCTGGCAGAGCCCTTGAAGACCTTTCCTCTCCCGTCCTGCAGCTACATTACCGAGTTTGTGGACCTGGGGAACATCTCTGCTCTCAGGACCTTCCGTGTCCTCCGTGCCTTGAAAACCATCACCGTGATACCAGGTGGGACTTAAAGAAGGGGTCTCCTCTCCATATCTTCCCTTTCCCTCAGGTTTTCCCACAGTTCACAGCAATTCCTTGTTCTTTTGACAGCTCTAAGAAAAAACAGAGGAAATAAGGTATTCAGTACTTACAAATAATTTTCCACTTAATTCAGCTTTTGGGTCAGGTCCTGCTGATTTTACATCTTGAAATTAGCTGTGCTCGCTCGGTTGTTTGGCCAGGGAAAGCCCCTGATAAGCCAGATGTGGTGTTTTTAGGGCTCCTTGGAGACGCCTTAAGTGGGCTTGTGCTCATGTTGTGTTTAGGGGCTCGATTAACCGATACGCTTTGCTTGGTCCTTGGAGCCATAAACTCAGTTTTGTCCCCACTGCTGACTGCTCTGGTGCTAGGGTTAAGATATTTAATGGGTATTAGTACAAGAGCCACATGGCGAGTGTTTAACATCACCCCAAACATCCAGCCTGCGGTGTTAGGAGCACGCTATCAAATATCTCTGATGGCTCTTTCCCAAATTTTATGCCATTTCAATACCCTGCTTTGGTACCACCTAGTGCAAGCTCAACAAAAAGATAGGTCCCACCCCTTGAAGAAGCGTGAGATTGAACTGAAAATGATAATTTCTTGTGGTGAATAAATTCTTGTGTCCCTGCACTTTCCAGATCTTTAGGGTTCATGTTTGAATGTTTTTTGCCTCCATCAAACAGCCTAAAAATTGCATGTAGCAAAATGTAAGCTGCTGCTTCTTTCTGGAATTGCATCCCCCCAAAAGTCTCTGCAGAAATAGCAGTTGCAAAAATAAGCTGTTTTAGAACGGCTGTCCTCAGCAGTTTCCCAACATAGACAAGCCCTTGGAGAACAGGGGTTTTACCTAAATAGTTTGGGGAGGAGGGGAACTGGCATGATGACAGGGCTAAAAATCATGCGTCTTTGGAGAATTGCCTCCACATGAGAAAGCTCAGTGCTCAGAGCTGCTTCTAAGATCAACATCACGATGTCCTGGCATCACCCATCATCTATGTAGACCTCGGGTGATGGGAACAACACCCTCCATGTCAAAAGCCCAACGAGGATCTGTGGGCAAGCATCCTCTGCGAAGGAAATGGTGATGCTGGAGGGGAGAGATGAGTTAATCCCTCATTAATTAATGAGGGATTAATGCAGATGTCGCTTTGTCACCTTCACTAGGACGCGCTGGGGTTTCTCCAGGCTGAAGGGTCCAGCTGGGCTCCCGACCACCCACGGGACAGCAGCACGTGGGGGTGATGGGAGGCTTTTCTGGAGCTGAAAGCAGTGCTCAGCATCTTCCAGCCGGGCTGGCAAATAGCTTTTCCATGTGCCACAGCAAAGTGGTCTACTCTAGTGGCTTGGGCCAAAAAAGGCCAGGTTGTGGCATTTGGGGAAAACATAAAGCCAAAAGGAATTGATGGCTGCCAGGCTGGGGTGGGCCTTGGCTTGTGATACCCAGGTTAAGGTTGGCATGGGGAGGCTTGGCTGGCACTGGTCCAAGGGTGACAGTTTTGGGGGAAGGGTTTGTGCTGCCCAGCAACGTGTGGGGACAGAGGGGCAGCTGGGATGCAACATGGGGCACAGAGCTGGGGGTCTGAGCACATGGGGTGAACTTGGTGATACCACATGTCCCCACCAGATCCAGCACCTTTTGGGAACACCATAGCACGTTCTCCACAATTAGCAAACGAGCGATTAGCTCAGTAGTGATGCCTCCCCCCTAGGGCTGAAGACGATCGTTGGGGCTCTGATCCAGTCGGTGAAGAAGCTCTCGGATGTCATGATCCTCACCGTCTTCTGCCTGAGCGTGTTCGCCCTAGTTGGTCTCCAGCTCTTCATGGGGAACCTCCGGCAGAAGTGCGTGCGGTGGCCCCCCCTCAATGACACCCTGCTGGGGGACTTGGGACTGGACAACGACACGTTAGCCAACACAACGCTCTACAGCAACTTCACCGACAGCATCGCCAGCGACTTCGCCGGCAACTTCACCAGCAACTTCACCAGCAACAACACCTTTGATTTCGAGGCCTACATCAACGATGAAGGTACACGCTTGTGCATCCCCTTCTCCATTGACCCATCACCCTGGTTTGCTCCTCGCTCTTCCTCTGTGTCAGACCAAGATGGTTTGCTCGCATGGATCTTCCTGCCAAGGTGCTTTGCAGGGAGATGTGGCCGGTGGGTGAAACAGGGGTTGTGCATACTCACAGGATAGACAGATGGGATCAAATCCTCCTTGCCAGGGAAAATGCAGTCCACCTGGGCAAGCTAAACTCCTCCAGAAAGGTTTCACCATGGGAAGGCCTGGACAAACCAACGTCTCCGTCTCTCCCGCTCGCTAGTGAGGGCACGATCTCCCCATCGGGGTGGGCATTGATGAACAGCTGCTCCATCTGGCTGGTCACAGCAGGGAGACCAAACCCTCCAGGAGCAGATGGGACTTTGGGTGGAAAACCAGAGGGAAGGATGCAGGAATGACATTTCTCACCCACTTTCACTGCTGTGTCATAGCTGGGTCCTTCCCCAAGTACTGCTGCACCCAGTGAGCATTGCATGCAAGCATGCAACACCGCGACAGCCAACAGGAGGGAGAGGTGGGGTCAAGCACAGGTCCTCGGACAGGTCTCCAAGTTTGCTACTTTCCTACCACTTCTTTGAAACAAGTTTGGCCCAAAAAAGTGCAGTGGGTTTTTTGTTTGTTCTTTGGTTTGGGGTTTTTAAACTCCATGAAAATGTGAAAAACTCAGAAAATCTGCCTGGCAGAGCTGCGCAGTGGCAGGATGCTCCACAGGGATGTTTCACGTCTCATTTAGGGCACTCAGCAGAGCTCAGCAGAAGGTTGGGTTACGTCTCGGCTGAGCTGCTTTGCCCAACTGTACAAGTAGCTCTGGCATTAATTACAGGAAGGCTTCTTGGTAGGGGTGCAAATTCAATATATAGGATCTAATGAGTGCAGTGCAAATAGCAACAGCACCCTGCGGCTGTGCGTTCAGGTTAACAGCTATTGGAGCCAGACCAAAAACATATCGCCTGGAGTTTCACAAGCGGGACATCTCCTCCATGAGCCCACATAGGTTAAATAAAAGCCTGGTGGCAAGAAGCCAGGCAGAGCTGGGGATGCTTTGAGGAAGTTCCATAAATCCCTGTGTGGCTCCGGGAAGGGCTGTGCTAGGTGATGCCCAGGATGGGGTCCAGCTGCCCTCTGCCATGTCCTGGGGTGGGTGTCTCCAGGTGCTGATCTAGGCGTCCCTTGGGGCAGGTGACCTGTGGTGGCACTGCTTGGCAGCTCCTGTGGCTCTGGGTCTGTGCTCAAGCTGTCAGGAGGAGCTTTAAGGACCCCTGGTCTGTGAGCAGCGGGGGTTTCCCCACCAGGTGGGGGCTGCGGGAGGAAGGCAATAGCCATGGAGCAGTAGCAGACAGTTTCCCCAGGCTTTTTTGGGACCCCTGCAGTCCCCCATGCTCGGTGCTCCCGGGGAATGCCCTACTATTTTGTACGTTCTCCCAGCAAAACAGACCAGCCCTGGTCCTTTGACCACATGTTAACCTACTGTCCCAGGAGGCCTGACCCTGGCCAACCTGGCTGTTTCCAGAACTCTTTATAGGCTTGGGAGCCAGCTAGTTGGGTCGGTGAAACAATGCCATGAGCTCTCTGAGCTACTGCCAAGTAGTTCAATGCAAATAGCAAGGTCAGCAGAGAGGAGACAACCCAGTGCTCAGTGCTGGGATTCAGGGAATTTCCCTGACAGCGAGGAGCTGCCAAGAATTAGAAAATCAATGTTTGTGTTTATTTTTTTTTTTATGTCTTGCTCTTTCCCCAACTGCAAAGCCAATTTCTACTTTCTGGAGGGAGCGCTTGACGCCCTGCTCTGTGGGAACAGCAGCGATGCTGGGTGAGTGCAGCTCATGCTGGCGGCTGAGGTCCCCTCTGGCTCCCCGGGAGGGCACGAAGCAGCCAGCGCAGCCTGTGGGACCGCTGATGCTTGGGATGGGACAGGATCAGGGCTGGGAATGTGGCTCCGCAGGTGAATGGTGCAGGAATCCCGACTGTATCAGCTTGGAGGGGGTATCGGTCCAGGCATGCTGACTGTATCAGCTTTGGGGAAGGTGGTATCAGTCCGGGCATCCCGACTGTATCAGCTTGGGCGGGGGGGGGTCTGCTGAAGCATCTCAGTGCCTCCAGGGGTGGAGTGTTTCGCTGCGGGTGCAGGAGGGGCAGCGCCGGGGGCTGATGCCAGCTGCCCCCACGGCTCCTTTGGTAGGAAATGCCCTGAAGGGTACCAGTGCATGAAGGCGGGGAGGAACCCGAACTACGGCTACACCAGCTACGACACCTTCAGCTGGGCTTTCCTGGCCCTCTTCCGCCTCATGACGCAGGACTTCTGGGAGAACCTCTTCCAGCTGGTAGGCACCAAATTTTTATTCTTGTGCAAATGCTCCTCTCGTTTCGATGCTGCCCCCGGTCTAGGACAGGTAAAAAGCCACTTGACTGGAAACTTGTGGGACCTTGTCCTGTGGTTTATGGATCTAACCAGGATCAGCAGAGGTGAAGCATGGTCCCATCCAGTTCCCCAACCTGAGCAGTGCAGTGTATTTTCCAGGGCAAAGCCCAGGTGTGCTTCAGCAGTGCTGTCAGCTGTATCATGGAAATCAGGGATTTATAAGAGTATCTAGTACATCTCTGGCTTGAGCTAAGGGAGAGGGTAAGAGGGATAAGCTAGGTCACTTGTCCCCTCCAGAGTCATCCTCTAGGGAGAAGTTGCAGACACCATAAAATCCCAGCTGACCCTGGGTCCAGAGATTGTTTAGATAAAAGCAAGCCTACGTCTGAAGGCTACACGTGTCCTCTGGAAATGATTATGCCCAGATCCGGAGTTAGAAAAGGACCACTCTTGGCCCGAGGGTGAGACCTGAGAAGTTGGGGGCTGAGAGACATCAGCTCCTGTCACAGCAAAGCAAGTCTCTGATGAAATATTGGTCCCGTCTCCATACTTGCTTGCAGCCCTTGGGCTACCAGACAGCACAGAGCAGCGTGGCTGGGTTTGCCGAGACTTCTGGCTGTTTCACACAAGTCCTAACCCAGTGCCATGGACTGCAGGAAGGTCAACTGGGCAATGACCAGCCCTTGGGGAAGACGGGAGCAAAATACTGTACTCCTACCACAAATGGGAGGGTGCCCTGGTGCAAGACCTTTCATGGGAAGCGTTGCCAAACCGATATCGTGCCGAGGTGGTGTGACAGCCCGTGCCTCCTCTTTCCACAGACACTGCGTGCAGCAGGGAAAACGTACATGATCTTCTTCGTGGTGGTTATATTTCTTGGTTCCTTCTACCTCATCAACCTCATCCTCGCAGTGGTGGCCATGGCTTACGCAGAACAAAACGACGCCACGATGCTGGAGGAGCAGCAGAAGGAGGAGGAATTTCAGCAGCTCATGGAGCAGCTGAAGAAGCATCAGGAGGAGCAAGAAAAGATGGTTGGTGGAAAATGTGGAGGCCAAAATGAGGGACCTTAGGAACAGGGGGAGAAAAGGGGAGGCAGCGACAAGGGGGGTGGTGCCTTTATTTATGTAAAATCCAAAAATAAGCCCCATTTGGTCCATAGTAAACACAGATAATAATTGAGTAACTATTTTGGGGGTCACAGCTGAATCAAAAAGTTGAGATAGTATCCTGGGTGGGGAGCAAAAAAGGCTGAAAAAATGTAATTTCTGCATCCAAAATCCAGCACAGGGAGCACTGGGAGGCAGCAGAGAGGTGCAGCACAGAGGTGCGGTATTGCTTGAGAGGAGGAGGTGAGAAACAAGGCATAAAAGGCAACAGAACTAACAATATATCTTCCTGCAACGCATCAAGAGCAGGAAACCTGGCAGAGAGCCTGCACAGGCAGATTATGATCAGGGTACAAAAGAAGCACTCAAGGAAGACAGGGCGGTTGCAGCAAAGCTAAATGCATTAGCAAACCATTTGCTTTTGGCCAAGACTGGAAACAGAAGAGAGGGTTCGAGAGACCCTGTGTCTCGCCCAGGGAATTCCTGGTGTCCTTGCAGGAGCTGAGGCACAGCTCTCAGGGTCTGGCCTCACTGCTGTCCCCCAGCACACGAGCAGGTAGGCATGCCTGATGCTGCAGAGAGTTTGCAGTCAAATGAGCTGGCGTCAAAACGGGTGGTCTCTGAAGCTGCCTGATTTTCACCCATTTCATAGAATCATAGAATATCCTCAGCAAGTTTGCAGATGACGCCAAGCTGAGTGGTGCGGTCGACACGCCAGAGGGACAGGATGCCATCCAGAGGGACCTGGACAAGCTGGAGAAGTGGGCCCCTGTGAACCTCATGAGGTTTAACAAGGCCAAGTGCAAGGTCCTGCACCTGGGTCGGGGCAACCCCCGGTATCAATACAGGCTGGGGGATGAAGGGATTGAGAGCAGCCCTGCCGAGAAGGACTTGGGGGTACTGGTGGATGAAAAGCCGGACATGAGCCGGCAATGTGTGCTCGCAGCCCAGAAGGCCAGTCGTATCCTGGGCTGCATCACAAGCAGCGTGGACACACACGGATCTGTTGGAGCGGGTCCAGAGGAGGGTCACAAAAATGATCAGGGGGATGGAACACCTCTGCTATGAAGAAAGGCCGAGAGAGTTGGGGTTG